TTTCTAGTTCTACTTTATATGTTACTAAAAACTCCGATTATATTTTATTGTTTCTCTTCTTAAAATTTCATATGTACTCTATCTTATTTCTTCAGCTTACATAAACCTTTTCACATTTTCTAATATTCTACAAATGAATTCCTATCTGTATTCTTCCTTCTTAAAAATAAATTAAAATCATAAGAATTTCAACTACTAGATAGATTTAGACATTTAATTCCTAGGAATTAAAATAAATTTAATTTTGGATTCCTTGTTTATATGGCTAATAAAAATCAAATCTTCATTATTATTTGCAATTTATCTTAACTTGATTAATATTTAATATTTAATTAAATCAAAAAATTTATAATAAAGTTAATCTAGGTATTAAACACTTAAGTTAACAATTTCAACTTTTCAGGAAGATAGCTTAAGTAAAAAGGAATAACAGAAATAAAAAATATTTCCAAAAGTATAAAAATTATTTTTCTTTATAAAAAGAAAGGAAGTGTTGTTTGTTTAAGAAGATAATATCAAAAATACTATTTTATTAAATATTATAGGATAATTATAATGTATATTTTATTAATGATGCCTAAATATATTCATTTCATATTTTTTAATTCCTTAATTAATTGTCTAAACTTATTTTATTCTAATTTGCAATAAAAAAGTGCTTGCTAATAATTATCTATGGCTTATTAATATTTATTCAATTACTTTAGTAAATAACCTAATAATATCAAATAAATTGATTAACCTTTATTAATATAGGCTGATGCATCATTAGGATCTAGTTGGATTGCTTTATCATAGCATAAAATTGCATCAGTATATTTACCAAGATCATCTAAGGAATTGCCTATTAGTATTTTAATATTGATTAACCTTTATTAAAATAGGCTTATGTATCATTAGGATCTAGTTGGATTGCTTTATCATAGCAATTAATTGCCTCTTTTTATTTACCAACACTTTTTAATGAATATCCTTAAAATAATAACCTAATAAACTACCCTATAAGATATAACCAATAGAATATTTTAAATTGTAACTTAAAGCTTTTTCAATACACTAAACTGCTTATGCATGTTAATTCAAATCTTATAAAGAGAAACCTTTTCTATAACAAAAATGATTACTTTTTCTATATAAAGCATGGAGATGTTATGGTTCTTCTATCAAAATTTTTTCACATTACTCGATTGCTGATTGATATTTCATCTCTTCATTTAATGCATAGCCTATTTAAAATATTGATTTTATTTACTTTTTGCAATTAAAACAAATGTATTTTATGGATTATTTGTAAGTTCTATATTTGAATAATCCAATAAATCTTTATATAGGTTATTATTAATCTTCTTGGCTTATTCTCTCATTTTTATCCCTTTTCCTGATTGATTCATTTCAATTAATGTCATACCTTAATTAAATAAATTTTTTAGAAGTACTTTAAAACAAAGTTGCAAATGATTATTGTTTTTCTAATAATTTTAAGTATTAATTTATTTTTTCATTAGCTTCCTACCATTTCTTTTAATTTAATAATTCTATTCCTAATATTTTAAAGAAATCGAATACCTTACTCAAGTGTGATTTGATCATATTGTTTAATATTTTTAATTTATTCTTATCCTTTATCCAAATCAAGAGCTTGAATCATTCTTTTTATACTAATTAATTAATTTCCTATATATATTAAAAATGTCAAAATACCAATTTAATTCTACTTCATGATCTCCTCTTAATTGTTTTAAAATTGATGGCATTCCTTAATTATTTACAAATTGTCCTTGATTTATTTATAATCTTATTAAGTTAAACCTTAAGATATTTTTTGTAATTGTATTCTCATTTTCTCCAAATATTTTGAGAATTCTTCATATTTTATTTTGACTGATGAATAAGATTAATTCAATTAAACTGTTAATTCAAGTATATAC